GTATAAGAACCTATGTATACATGAATGTATTCTTTTATACACTATAGTTGAAATAAAGAAGAATTTAAGATCATATCGATAATTCTCTGAATTATATGGAGCAGAAAAACTTTACAGTTTTATTTTTCTGAAATTTTAATAAAATGTCAAATTGCCATTTATATAAAACATGTATACGATTTATTTGCTAATGTTAGACATATACATACGTATGTGTATCCATGTAGGAATCTAGAAAATATATAAAATTTCTATATTAAAAGCATGTAAATGCATAGTGTACACCATACACCCCTTACACAATCATATCTATTTCTGATTATACAAGTATGTATGTATGTAAAATCATGCGTAAATTCAATATGTTCAAGTTTGAATTTTTATATTCAAAAGGTATGATGCTCATCATATATCATAGTTACTTTTTATTTTAATTTTATTTTATTTCAAAACGTATATTGTAGAATAAAGCATTTATTCAAGATTCTTATATACACTGAAATCTCGTTTACTGTGACTACAAGCGTACATATTACAATACAATTTTTTTCATATCGTCACATCAACTACTTAACTTCAAAAATTTCTTAAACTGCTGCAATTTTTTTTCCACATAGGTTAGATACCAATATTTAAATGTCAAATTTTTTTCAAAAAACAAATAGTCAGTATGGTGATCTAATTTTGTATATTTTTGGAAAAAAAAGAGTTAAAAAAATTCTTTTAACTTGAAAATTACATTCTTACCCGGTGAGAAAAAAGCGAAATAAATATTCTCATAACTAACCAACTAGCCACGACTTTACTGTGTAACTGCACTGATGTTTTCTTTAATCTCTTTTTTTTTTTGATTAATGAACAATTTATTATTCTCATATATTAAAGTGCATATAGTATGTAATAAGCTATTAACTGTATATACATTGTTTATATGTATTTAACTTCAAGATATAGGATACCTATAATAGAATATCAATATGTATAAAAGTATATGAACTCAGATTATGCGTAAATTGCGCCGGAAATGTCATATGATGCGCATATTGCTCATGAGCCTATTATAATCATATAATGTACAATCGTTATTCAATGTTCCATAGAATTTGTAAGATCATAAATTATTCTACGTTTTATCCACATCTACGAGGTACACATACAAAAATACATATGCATTAATATTTTACTATTTTATATGAATTACATGTATATATTAAAATATAAGTACATGATATGGAAATATAAAAATGAGTATAGAAGATAAATAAGGGATATAAAATCTAAGCACTTGTGTTTTATTACTTTGAATTTTTTATTAGCTCGAAAGATTATTATAGTTAAAAGTAAAAGACGAAAGAACTTTTTAAGAACTATTTTTGTATCCATTTAAAATTCAATTCAATTTGAATAAATTAATTTTCATTTGCTTTCTGTAAGAATATTTTTTGTTCTTTTATTTAAAAAAAACTTTAATTTATGCAAAAAATATTTTCCAGAAGAAAGTAATGTTATTTTGTTATGCATTTTGGTTCAGCCAGAGTTATGAGTTGAGTAAATGAACTTTGGTTTACATACGTACAAATTTAAATTAAAATGTATGTATTTGTTCATATTTTTATATGGTGTGCGATTATAAATAAATTACATACACACGTATTCCGATTAGTCGAAAAGTATATTTTCAAAAAAATTAAGCCTTTAGATACATAAACTTATATCGAATATTGTTAGAAATTTTATAAAATTCATATTTGAAGTAATTTTTATTTATTTTTTTACATAAACAAAAATATTATAAACGAAAAACATTTAAATATTATAAAGGGCTAATGTAAAATAATATAAATTGAAAGATAGTAGAAACAACTTAATACATATCAACGTTCTATGAAATCCAAATATACAGATTTTTTAAATAATGTCAACGGTACGTGAATAGAATAAATGCCCATTTGTTTAATCAGTTGTTCTCAAAATCTATTGATTTATAAATGACAAATATGTAGTTCATAATTAAATTTCATTCTATATCGTTTATCATAATTCATAATTCTTATTTTTCATGTACAAAATAGAAATACTCATCGGACCACCAATTGGACAAAACAGTTATTACTTATTATTCCCCTAGGGAACATAAGCCTTCAATATCGGGATATCTTTTCTATTTTATGCCAGCCTCTTCATTTCTATACATGTTTTAATGTTTATAGTTTGACGTTCCGTTCCCATTTTTTTTCTTATTCCGTTTTTTTCTTATTTGAATTTCTACTAGATTTTTTCTCGTCTTTATCCATAGCTAGTTCATAATTCTTCGTGGCCAAAATGTTTTGCATTTAATTCTATGACATTTATTAACGAAGACCATATATTACATCACGAACGCATCTATGACATTTATTAACGAAGACCATATATTACATCACGAACGCATCTATAATCAATTAACGAACCATATATAATTAACGAACGCATCTATAATCAATTAACGAACCATATATAATTAACGAACGCATCTTTTGCATGTTAGCTCTGATGCGTTGAATATTCTTACTTTGCCTGGAAAATCTTATATTTTATATCCTCTTTTGCAAATATTATTGCGCAAATAGCAGGCAGCCACAACACGAAGGTCTTTGTTCTGGAAAGATTGTATTTGTTTGTTGTGTGTTTGCTTGGCACAACCCCATAGCTGTAAACCATACCTCTTTTTTTATTATACTTTATATACTTCATATACTTTTTACACTTTATTATTTGGTTTCATTCCAACACTAGGTTGTATGTTGCGAATCTAGATCTACGGATCCAATAGTTTTATCTTTTTTTTTTCTAATTCTATTATTTTCTTCTTCACATTTTCTTTCCATCTCAGCTTGTCATCTAAAATCATACCTAGGTATTTCGCTTTGGTTTGGATTGATACTCTAGCACCATTCAAATTCAATTACATTATCAAGCTGTGAATGAAAAAATTAGTTAACCTCCAATTCCGATGATCTACTTTTTACTGACTTTTATTTTACTCCCTATCTTTTAAAAAATTTTCAAAATAGTATTAGGAACCACTGACTTTAAAAAACGTTAAACCTATTTATAATAAAAAAAAGTTTAAATCATTTTTGAAAAGTTGCAATGCAATATGAATAGCTGCTAAGGTATGAAATATTCGAAAACTACACGTACGTTCAATGACATGTCTTTTTGTTGAAATATGAAAAAAAAGTTTTCTTACTTTCTTGTTTGTTTTATTATTTTCTTGCTGTAATGACTTGTTATTGAAAAGGAACATTTTTATTTAAAAGAATGGAAACTTCAAAAAAATACCGCTTTTCCAAGCTCTCTATCTTTTTCACTTTTAGCCTTGTGACTTGTAGACTTGGCTATTGCAGAAGTTTTCCTACATATATGCAGGTAGAAACTATTCTTCTTTTTGTTTTGTATAAATGCTAAAACAAAAAGACAAAAGAGAGTAAAATAAAAATGTCCCAATGTGGAGATCTATCATAAAAATCATTAACTATAATTCAATAGAAGTTTTAAAGTTTAAAAGACGCTTGTTGTATCTTTTTCTTTGTCTTTATTCTTTAATCAATATGTAAGTATGGTATAAGTCTATGTATGTAAATGGAAAAAATATTTCATCATAAGAGAACGGTCATTCGTCCACATGAAAATGTTGTTAAATACTGGCACGAACGAAAGATAAATGATAAAATAAAAAACCCAAAAATATTTTAGTCAATTATAATAAACGGACTTTTATAGATATCCTCTATAATACTTGTACGTTTGTAAAGTCAAATATGGAAAAAAAGAACAATGAAACTTTTATAAAAAAGTTTTAAACATTTTAGATCAGTTGAAGTGTTCGTATAGCTATAGGGTTTTGTTCGCGTTCCAGGTTTCTTTTAAATAACAATTTTCTTCTTTTTCTTTTTATGTTGTCCAATTTCCATTTAATTTTTTTCCAATGAAAAATTAGGTTGAGTTGATACCAAATTAACAATTTGTAAATTTATTGTAAATAATTTTGTTTTTGTTATACATTTTTAGGTCCAGATATATTAGCGTAGTTTTTCATACTCATTAATATCTATGTATAAAAAAACGCTCATATTTCACATAAACAGTTGAACTTGGATAAAAAGAATTTCAAACGAACGGAATTTTTATTTAGCATGAACTGACAAAGTAGAAATGCGCTTTAGTTTTTTTGTTTAGTAAATTGGAATTTAATATTAAACAAATCCATAAGAAGGAACGCAAGAATAAAGGGGCAAACTGTAGTACTATATTGCTAGGCTCGCGAACATTCTAAAAATTCAAAAATTAATGATTTTAAATTAGCATGTGTATCAATACCAAGTTTATCTTTAAAAATATGGAGAATGGCTAACAAATGAATGTGATGTACACAGGACAAATTACGAGACCAGTTCGTAGATTCGTAGATTCCAAGGGAACCGAGCGTCCTAGGACAATTTACGAGACCAGTTCGTAGATTCGTAGATTTCAAGGGAACCGAGTGGGACAGGAGTATACGAGACCAGTTCGTAGATTCGTAGATTCCAAGGCAACCGAGTGGGACAGGAGTATACGAGACCAGTTACAACAAAGACTAAAGAAATATTTAGATTATGTAGGTAAAATGTGCAAGAAAACTAGGAAATAAATGGAATTTCGATTCAATGGTTGAAAAAAACACATTTTCAAAACCAATTACAAAATTACAGAGGAGAACTTAAAGGTTATAAAAGAATATGTAGGAAAGAAGATAATGAAACTATGGAGATATACAATTCTAACAAGACCTACCTATTGAACGTGAATAAAGTAATTCGACTATCTGTCTGTGTAAATAATTTTCTTGAACAGTTTTAGGGCTTGAAATATTTCAATTTGTCATAAATAAAATTAGGATGAGTCAGTTATAAATTTAGAAACAAAAGTAGGTAAAGTCAGGTATACAATTTTTAATATAAAAAAATTTTATTTTTTAGGTGTTATAATTGGAAGAAAATCAGCTTTGATAAAGTACGTACGTAAATCAAAGTACGTATTCAATTTTAAACCAAAAAACATTTTTAATAAATTTTACATCAGTACACAAATGAGTATTTTAAATAGATTTCCGTATCAATCAAAAGAAAGAATACGAGCGTTGAAATTTTAATTGAATTAATTGAGTTGCATACAGTTGACATTTTACATTAATTTTGTGTTTGAATATTTGAATATTTAAGTGTCCAAATATTTTTTACATTGTAAAATTTTTTCCCATTCCAAATAGAGTTTGATAAAATATTAAAAAATTTTCGACTATATTCCCACACATACATATGTATGTGTACATATAGATTCTATACTTGCACATATTCTTCAAGTATTTTAATATGAAAACATTCAACATAAATCTGTTCATTCGTATTTTCTATAAAATCTTCACAAAATCTCAAGAGATACAAAGAATCTTAAGAAAAAAGAAAAGAAAATTATTAACTTTGCAAACTTTTCATTCGCAATTTCTAATTCATTGTTTATTGTTTCTTTTTTTTTTCATCAATAAAAAGCACATTTATTACAAATCAATTTTAGTTAAAAATATAAAAACAAGATATTTTCAGAAGTTACCTGTCCATAGTCAAAGACTCAACTCAATCATGCTTCATGTCCTATTGTTCTTAAGTCTTTATTTATACACACATTGCAATCAAATAACACGGAATGTAAACTTAAGAAGTAAAATAGCGTTTCACGTTTTCTAAATTAGGTGAAATTGTCTTTTGCAGTTTGAAAGTTTAAAGGCTTTTTGTTTTCTATTTTCATGTCACAAAAAATATAAACAGGTATCATATGTACAAACGTGGGTACACCACAGGTTCACCATATAGGAAAGAGCTCAATAATCATATATTTGTAGTAATACTCTATTCTGGTAAGTGGTACATCATTAAACCAATATTCATTTAATGCATTTATATTATAATATATAGGGAACTTATATAAAAACTATATTCCAACGAAGAGAAAGAACGGTTCAACTAAAATTATTATAACCAAAATTTAACATTACAAATATACAAAAGTGCTTGTATATAAGAAAACTTTGCAATTTATCAAATTTTCTTCAATATATCTTCAAATAAAATATCAAAATTTCTACTATATATGAATGCATGCATGTGTAATATACTTATAATGTATGCGTGTGCACATTTCTACAAAAGTTGCATGAACGTGGTTGCTTTTGTATCGTATCTATAAACTGACATTGCAATAATATATTTACAATAAAATTATTTTTGTAACGGTTGGGTGGTGATTTAAGAAAGGAATAATATTTTCTGTTATTACTATTAATATTTTTACCTTTCTTTAAATTGTTTAATGCTTCAATAAATTTTAGCTCGTCTTTTAACAAACGGGTACCTTGAAAGTATTACAATATGTTAAATTGGTTAGATAAGTTACTACGTACATTACATAATTATGTATGTAATGTAATGTATGGGAGCATAAAAAAATTTGAAAAAAGTTATAGTACTTGAAGAAAATAAAATGACATTAATGATCACATTTTTATTTCTTCGGTTTTGATTCTTTGAAGTATCCCACTCCTCTTACTATTGACAAGACAGCTTCATAAATTATCATAATTCTGCATCATCAAATTAGATGAATTTTTTTTTAGAAATATCAAACTCCATATTTTAAAAGGCCAAAAGCGAACCTAAAAAACTTTGATATGATACTTGAGTTAATAAATTTCCGCAAACAAGTTTTGAGCTAATAATAATTGTGAAACAAAATTTTGGTTTTTGCAATTCAATTTGCTGCTAAAAAATCTACAAGAATCCAAAACATATACTTATATGTAAGGTTTTCATTTCGAATGTTTTGTTTAAAAAAATTGGTTAAATCTCTCAACTGAGGTCGCCTAAAACATATTTTATAATATAGAGTTACTTAACTTTTGAACGTTTGAAAATTGTGCTATTACTTTCAAAATGTATAAATAGTTTCACTACGTAACTCGTTCCTAATTCATATAAAATTCATAAAATCGTAGAACATCTCTCAGGAAATTCATGATCGCGGAGTGATTATTTTTAATTTTAATTTGTACTGTTTAATGTTGCTTATATGTATTTCGTTTGCGTATACAGGTATATTATTTTTATTACTAAAAAATAATAATAAAAAGAGCAATCAAAAAAAAGCTAGTTAAAAATAAAATTTCAAATTAAAATTGATAAAAGAGCCTCAATATCTCTTAAAAAAAATTGTTCTTATGGCTTTTTTTTTTCATCTTATTTTCTTTTCAATTATTTAGATTGGAAAGTCACAAAAATTCAATTGACTATGAAGTTTACATGATATACGCACGTATTACTATTACAATAAGTTTTACATTGATGTACAAATTTATATACTCCCATAGTTTGTATGTATAAACATAAGTACTTATTCAAATACTTAATTATAGTTCAGATTGTAGTTATAGCATGCATATTGGTATGGAAAAATGATGACTTGGTTGTATTTTGAATGGCTTTTTCCTAATGTCAAAGAGGTCTCAGCCGAATTAAATTCATTTTTTGTATGCTTTTTATTCTTTTTACTTTTCAATATATTACTTTAAGACTTTAAGAAGGATAGCATTTAATTTGAAACCTATATACTATGTATGTAGTGTATAGATATAACTATTTTCATATGTGTGTAAATATGTATGTTTAATTTGCGAAGGCATTATACATGAACTATTTTCCCAAGTCTTTAGAAACGTGGTAAAATTTTGTTTCTTTTTTTTTTGCTTTTGCATAGTTTTGTGTATAGGATAAGTATTTTGTTTAGAAACGTGATATTCTAAAAAGAAATTGTTTTCTGCCTTATGGTATACGATACTATTTCTCGCTTGTTTCATTTTTCTTATATAGAGAGAAATGAAAATAAATTCCGCCTAAGGATAGTAAAGTCTTGGAATTTTGTATTTATTTGCTATTTTTTATTATCATTTGCTTTTTTCAAAATTTGGTATTTTAGGTGAAATTCATTATGGTGAGGAAACTGATTTACATAAAACGTTTGAGCTCAAAACGTTTTGAATTTCTTAAGTTTGTGTGCTTTTTCCTTATTTATTTTTTTTTATTTCATAAAAAAAAGAGTGCAAAAATTACTTTTATTAGATGTTTTCCGGCAATAACACAAATCAATTAAAAGAAAAAGACAAAGAAATAAAAGAAGAAAAATGAGTACTTAGTTTTCGCAAGAAATTCGAACATAAGTGTGTTTTGTTGCCAACATACAGAAAAAATATGATTTGATTCAATTCCAGTATGAATGAGTGTACATACACCCCTACATGCATACATACATCAACTTCAAAGTTGATATAACCATACCAAATTTTTAAAATAAAAATGACATGGGAAATCCTATTTTTATTTATTGTAAGTACATTATGTATTCATGTGTTTACGTATGTATGTACATACTGGATTGTATTAGGAGGAAAAATGTGTTTGTACCTAAGGGCGTGGTGACTTTTTTTATATTCCACATAATAATATAATCTCATTTTTTAAAATCGAGTTCGCAAACATATCTGTTAGAAAATGCTATGTATGTATGTACGTATGCAACTATTCGTAAAAGTTTTGTTATACACCAAAGAAGCTTTGATTTGATTTTTTGTACAATTCTCAACATTAATTAGAATTTACATTTAAACTTTAAAATATAAAATGATTACTACAAAATATGTTATAAAAAAATTAAATAATTATAGTATAAACTAAGGTATGTTCCATAAATTTCGTTATGAATTATTTTGTTTGAAGTGATGTGATTTTCTAAAAGTTATTCTTCGATTTTGAAAGTATTCAATGAGTAGTAAATTAGAACTTACCTACAATAGATATTATATTTGCAGTTTAATATAATGTTATGGTGTTTGCAATTAACGGAAGCAAATTAAATTAAAATTAATAAAATGTGCAAAAAATTAAAATAACGCATAGAACACGTTTTCATTTATGAACCGCAGCTAATATTCAAAAAGGAATACAAATGTATATACACACAGAGCTTAAAAAATTCAATGTACCTACTGGTTATATCGAAAATAGATTTTGGTTGCCATTAATTATTAATGTAAATCCTCAATATATGAAACATATACATATGACTGGTAATTGTAAACTTTTCATTTGTTTTTTTTTTCACATTTTTTTTAAATAGATATTAAAATTTTGCTTTACAAAGCGTATAAATTGAAAAATTTTAAATATATGCAGAAGCAAAAATGACCTTGCCCTCAAAACTTTTGCTAATTTATTTCTGCGTGGTTAAGATGAGCATGTTATTTTTTATTTATTTAATAAATTGTCGTTCGGTTCGGAACGAAATGTTTTTTATTTAAACATCGTATATATGTATGTATGTATTTTCTGTATGATAATAGCATTTAAGGTTTTGTATACATTTGTTATTTGTGTTCGTTATTTTTCAATATAACTGTTAAAAGTAAACCATTTTTCAATCAATTTTCTATTATGCAGTAAATATAAAAATTGTAAATACAGCAATCATATACCCGCGCTTAAAAAATCAAGCATAGATAATGAATAAAAACTGTCAAATTAGTTAAATAATAGTAACAATAGAGAAATGATAAAATAAAAAAAAGATAAACCTCGTACATTAATAAAAATACTTTTTTTCATAAAAGAGACTATAGATTAAAATCGGGGCATTTTTCAAAAAGAAACATGAACTCTATTTAACGGATTGCAAGTCGATATGTGTATAACCGGACTATTATCTTCAAAAGCATTTTAAGGAGCATCCTACTAAACTATTTAAGATCTTACATTATAGCTTGTTATATTTTGTATATATAATTTACATATGTACATGTACATTGTTTTGTTAAGGTGCAAGAAGGTTATATAAGAATAATATCTTATGCAAGGTTAAATTATTAATTATGCAATCAAAAAATTGAAGTGAGTTTTTGTATATTTCGTACGTCACCCATTTGTACTTCA